TTGAAAAAGCCTTCCTGTCAGCGTCTGACACTCTCTGAGACAGTTTGTTTGGTGATAATTTAAGGCACTGAGTCTTGTTATAAAATCTTGGCCATTCAAAAAAAAAAAAGTCGCTCTCTATAACTGTGTATGTGTTGGGCTGTGCATTTAATAGTTTTCCCTCACAGATTTTCTCCTAAAAGTGCATTTGTGGGATGCTCAAGTACACAAGAAAATGAAGAGAAGAATGCTGATGAAGGCTTCTCGTTTCTGCATTTACTACGAATGAAGCACATCACAGCGTGCACTGCACTAACGTGCGATGACGTCATGCCAAATGAAAATAATTAATTGAATAAATGAACATACCACTTCTTTTTTTAAACAAAACACAAATAAGCATTTTTACAAAAATAACATTTACTATTTAAAAGAGACACTATACACATAAAATCCACTATATCACACCGCTTGTTGGGAGAATTTTATCATATTGAACCAATGATGCATATGGTTCACACACACATTTGCTAAAATACAATTACTGGACTTGAGCGCACAAGTCACGAGTCTGCAAGTCTACCAAACACATACGGTAATGATTTGAATGCCTGGGTCTCTCTTCACAACAGCATTTTTTCTTTTAATTTACACATAATATTTAACAGACCCTGTAAGATGTTACTACATATTTATTTGACCATAAGAAGATGGTTTGAAATACAAATCAGCAAACAGATGAAATCCTAATAAATGTTAATCCTAATCCGAATTAGAAATTAAGCGTTCTGTTGATTATAGGTTTAAATTGGAGATTGAATCAGGATTCATGTGGGCCAACAGGTTTGTGTGTTTGCTTGTCGTCTTTCTGCATCGGTAAGAAATGTCACATGCTGATAAACAGCATGGTTGGCATGGTGATGAAACCTTAAATCCTCATGCATTAGTGTCTTTCGATGTTTGCAGGTTCAGATTGTTTTTATCATGCCCAATCACACACAATCTGTCCAATGGAAGACTATTTAAAGATGAACTGAACTGAAATTTGAAAAAAGGTGACATAACAGATGTATTTTATTAATTATCATTGGTACAATTTTTAAAATGGCATAATTTGTTAAAAGGGATAAAATGGTACATTGAAAGTGTTGTTTTTGTTACACGGGCGCCGCCATGTTGGATTTCAACATTCGACTACGTCACTGTCATGGTAAGCCACTCCGCTGCCTACCCGCACCAGCAGAACAGCTGTAGCTTGTAAACAGTCTGAGGCGCGCTGACATGGCTGAAGAAACAGAATTTTTAGCGACACACTATCTAGAGATATGTACTTTCGTCAATGAGTACATGAAACGTCTGACAATGTCTGCATTAAATGTTTTATTTACACAAGTTACAAGTTCAACACATCACGTTACCGTTACTCGAATCCTTGATATTCGGCTGAGGGGAAAAGATTCCTGATATATAGTTCACGGTAAAGGATGGGATTCTCCTTTCTAAATGCACCCTCGCCCATAGAGTGAACTGCCAGTACGCTGTTAATCTAAACAGTCTGAGAAAAGTCTGAGAAAACAAGTTAGCCCAGCCTAGTCACGTAAAATACCCTGCTACTGATGGGGCGCTCGCGTCTCAGCTCGGACATCCATTAGAGACAGCATAGCCTCCCCCAACACGTTTCTCTCACCGAACAGCATCCGAAATGAACGGTGCATGGTGATGCATTTTTCGCCGATCAATAAATGTTCCAGGTTGACCTCTCTGCAAAAGATCGACTCCTGTGCAGTATTCATACTCCACAGCGCTCGCGCCCACAATCACTTCTCCCCAAACGATCCTGTACTGTAAGTGAAGCCTAAAACTGATCGTCCTCCATGTGGTGGTAGTCAGACACTACCGGCCTGTCCCTCGCGGACTCAAATGCGTAATCCATGCCGTTAAAAGTGCTCATTTTCGTCAGTGTATATAGGACCTGCAGCTGTTGTCTATGGCGCTCCGCGGGTCCTACCATGCCAGTGACGTCATCGAAATTGCCCAGCGCTAACAAGCGCAATTTTGCGTTGCTTATAAAAAGCTATATTAATATTTTTTATTAAAATGTTTAGTGTAATTTACGTTTAATTGTCATAAACAACACGTTTTCATCGTCGAATTTTTTCAGTTCAGTTCATCTTTAAGGTACAGAATAAGTTCACTGCCTTTGTGTTATTTAATATCAAAAATGACACAGCTCTCATTCCACATGAATGTTATGTTCTGTCATGAAGGAATGAAAGAGTGTCAGGAGATGAAAGCATCCGGCAGGATTAGGTTATTACAAATTACAGCTTTAAAGCTTCACATAGATATTTTGCAGATTTAGAGCATTAAAATGATACCGTATGTAATATGTATATTAAAAACCTTATCTTTGCTTAGCAGCTTTATAACCAAAAAAATAAATAAATCAAAAATGGACTTGTCGCATTGGACTTTCCTGAAACTATTTGATTTTTTTAAAAAGTTTATTGAAATGGATCTCTCTTTTTTTGTAAACCTTAAACATGCATGCATGAAACTATCATATGCGCATTTGTTTATTTAGCCTATTTATCTTTACCTTTAGTGTCAGTTAGATGACGCCATAGGATCGTGTCATATAACTGACGCTTAAGGGTGCCTAAAGGTCAGATATTGAAGCATGGGGTCAAAATTCGTGAGCTTAGAATTATAAGGTTCTATCTCCACTTTTGGTCGAAATTGAGTTTTTGACATAATCTGATCCATTAGGTGTTTATTAATGCCTGTGTGGTGTTATTTTTGTAAAAAAAAAGATTAATAGATAAAGCTATAATAGAAAATTTTACTACATTACAGTTTTGCCAGGTGGGATGTAAAAACTTTGATGCTCAATATCTCAGAACTACCCTAAACGGAGATAGAACCTTATAATTCTAAGCTCACGAATTGTCAGTTAGATGACGCCTGGGATGAGAATGAGAATGCGTTGCCATATACGTTTCTGATCATGCAGGATCCCACTGGTGGCATAATTTGGCTAATGTCTTCATGATGTAAAAATGCATAAATTTGGGTTGCATTGTAGGGGACAGAACATATTCGCTCAGCATGAAAAAAGTGAATTAGATAGACAGCATGGTTATAAAATATGATTATGGAGAAAATGTTAAGAGCTCAAAATGCTCATGGCCACATATACTTCTGACACACTCAGCTGAAATTCACACGCAAAAGCAATTTTATTAGCTTTCACATGTCAACAAACGTGTCAGATGAAACAAGAAAAGGTTACTAAAATAGCACTTCAAAAGAATGCTGAAAAGATGACCAAAACCAAACGCAAAGGTTCACATCAGATTTGCCACGTCTTAGTTTCTCACTATTTCTTGATCCACATCACAGTAAAACAGTATGCATTGACTCATTTTTACAATGAATGTACAATGCACTACAACTGTAAACAACTATTCATTGGCTTTTTAAAAAGTTAAAGTTATTAAAAAGTAAATATTCATTGTTACTATTTTTTTAGTTGTATTTCTTATTTGTGTGAAGTGTTATGTACCTGATGTCTGAATGTCACTGAAAAAAAGAAGAAAAAAAAGAAAAAACAGACTGACACATAACTTTTCGTCATTTTATTTTACTCTTCTTTTTTACCCAATTTTAGTCTTATTTTTCCAAATGAGGCTTTATGATAATAATAAAAAAAATAATAAAAAGCCATGTTTTACCTGTTCATAAGCAGCACATAGGGCTGATGTAAATTGTGTAAATTATATTCCTCCAATCATGCAATGCACATCACTCAGAGACATTAGCCACATTTAGGGTACATGGTAAATACATGACTAAGGTTCTTTCCACAGGATATATCTATATATATTTTGACTTGATGCAAAAATGCTATTATGGAATTTATAAATAAGCAAATGTAGTGAATTTAAATAAATAGCTACTTATATCCAAAATTTTTGCATTGAATAAATTTTGATTGGAATAAAGATTTTAATAAATAAATAAAATATATGGTATATAATATTTGGTACATCTTATTGAAAGAGCATTTGCCATTCAAATGAGCTCTTCATTGGCAACTGAATGAAGCTGACAGTGCAATTTGTACAAAGATTCAGTTATATAGAGACTATGAGTGACTGAATAAAAAGACTTGAAAAATTGAGAGGTTCAACACATACAAATATAATACACATATACTTCATATTTTTAAATTATTTGGGATATTCATTGTTCATCAACTCAGTGAAACAGAATCCCTGAATCCCTGTTCAGATAAGCAAACACCCACAGTGTATTTTTTTTTAAATTTTTTTTGGTTTAACTTAAAAAAAGTCACATACCTGGTTACTATATCCATATTGTCACTCTCATGTAATGCCATCAGTTGCGTTGCTTCATTGCCATTCGCAAATCATCTCCCTTTGGCCTCCCTGTGGGATAGTAACGAGTCCATTGAAGGTAGTGTTTGCATTATGTTTTATCAATACTATGAATTCGGACAAACTATCGGCTCACATGTTTTTCGCATATACTACATAAGTATTCAGATGCAGTGCATTCCTCTGTAGAATTTCTTACAGTATTTTGATTTTGTTTATCATTTTCCAGTTTTGGTGGCTTAATGTGAGTAATGAATCATGTAGTAGTTCACAATTATTTTATTTATTTTTAACGGTTAAGTTAGGATCCTGTCTGAAAGTCTGAAGACCAACAAAAGTAATTAAAATAACACTCTTTTTGGGGGAAAAAAAAGGTTCAACAGGATTTATATAGAACGCTAAACCTTTTATCCCAAAAAGGTCCTATATAAATGAAATGTATTAAATGATAATACACTTTCATGTTTAATGGGTCATTTCAATTTGTTCTAGTGATAAAGTGGATTAATTCACAATATAGAATTTAAAACAATCATTAATTAAAACCAAATCCATAAATTATCCCATTATGGGAACACCTAAAAGGTTCTATATAGATCCTTACAAAACCCTTTAAGGTAGACAGAACCAATTCTTTTAAGAGTATAGATATTTCGTCCCCTTGGAATTATAAGGTTCTATCTGACATTTTTGTCAAAATTGAGTAATTCACATATTCCTAATTCTGTGACAATTTATTTACATTATGTGATGTGTTTTGTACATTTAGGGTCCCTGTTATTTTTATGTTTGAAAGAAACTTGTTCCCCATACACATTTTCCTATATGGAATGCAAAAACTTTGAAGCTCAATATGTCAAAACTGTTCAGAACGCAGATAGAACCTTATAATTCCAAGGGGAGGAATTCGGTAACGCTTCCTTTTACAGTACAGTACTTACAGTGTACTTACAGTGTACTTACCAAGAAAGTCCTGGCTAATATAAGGTAAGTACAAGGAACAGGGGTAGGTTTAGGGGTAGGTTCAGGGTTATTACCCAGTAATTGTAGTTACTAAAATAAGTACATAGTATTTACATGGATAACTGGACTGTAAAAGGAAGCGTTACCGATAATTCGTGAGTGTGAATGAATATAAACATGGACGTCAATACTGTCAAAATTTGAAGCATATCACTTACAGAGATTTGAAAGGAGGTTTCTCCAACACGTACACACCTTTTACACGTTTATCAAAGCGACTTGTTTGTTCCCTCAGCAGGAAGGTCAGAAGGCATAACACTTCATTTAAAAATTCAATGTGCTAAAAAATGCATATATTGTGTCAGTTGTCCATAAGAAACCTAAAATACTTAAAATAACAAAACAATCATTGCACTCCATTGCAGATATGTCAATACACACAATAATTAGTTTGAAAAGAAATTTGTTCTCAGTGCCTTAAATTGAGGCAAATGTGAAAGTCTATTTACTATTGTCTATTTGAGGCAAGCGAATGCACACGAGTGTAAACACACACCCGTGCATAGGCTCAGGTGTTACGGTTTGGTGTTATTGGCAGCTTTGCAGTGAGCAGGCACTGTTTCCAAGGTGATCTCCAGACTGTCAATCTCGGAGCATTTCCGCCCCCTCACGATCACCCGCACGGACTTCTTACACTCCATTGACTGGCTCTTTGGTTTGACTTCTATCACTCTATGTTCTTGTTCTGGCTCCAATTCAGGTTCAGTGCTGTCCTTCAGAGACAACTGCACAGTGTTCACTTTGATGGGACAGCGGCGTGGGTACTGCTTAAACTGCTCAAACGGGTCATTACACCTCTCGCAAGGGCAGTGATATGGACCTACGGGCCCCCTTGTTGAATCTGAGATGGATTGGTCTCGTCGCCGCAGACTGAGGGCCAGTGATGGGCGGGGAAAACACTGGCACAGGCAGTGGTGCACGCAAACCCCTCGCAGGGAGCGCATGTCCTTGCAGAGGAGGTGGCGGAAGTTGGGTTTGAGCAAGAGGTAGATGAGAGGGTTATACAGGGTGGAGGATTTGGCAAAAACCGCAGGGATGGCGAAGGCCAGGGGCGGGATGTCCTCAAAACGGCCGAACGCCGCCCACATAGACACCAGTGCGTATGGACTCCATGCAGCAAAGAATCCTATACAAACCGCCACACTCAGCTGAGGAAAGACAGGGAAAGATCCGTCATGAAGAACTTGCATCATGAGATCATTTTACAGTAATGAATGACATTGTCACGTTCAACATTTTCTTTTTTTTAAAGATATTATTGTCAAAAGACCAATAAAACTGCCAAAAAAAACGTAACCTGTGTAAAAAGTGAAGTGACTGCACCTTCACTATGATTGCCTGGATGTTGCCCATGCGTGTCTGCACCGACACGTGCTGCTCCACCGCTCTGCGGGACTCTCGGACCGTGAGCAGTATGCGTGTGTAGGAGACAATGATGATGCTGCACGGCAGCAGGTAACAGGCGACGAAGAGCACAGTGGTGTATGAGCGGGCAACTGAGTCGTCATTGGACCAGGACCAGTCGATACAGCAGGCCGTCCCGTAGGGTTCGGGACCATACTGCCCCCAGTGGGCGAGAGGGGAGCAAGCGAACATAAGAGCATAGGCCCACGCACACGCTATTAACACATGGCCGTGCTCATAGCTGAACCTATTACCTACAGAGACACACATATACAATATAATACATAACAGAAATCCACAAGGCTACAGAGTGTCCCGTTTGTTGTTTTAATAATACTAATATTAATATAATAATTCATTACATTTATATAGCACTTTTTTAGGCACTCAAAGCACTTTACATGGAAGGGGGAATCTCCTCAAGGATGCTCACAAGTGCCCCCTTTGCGGCCAATATGTGCCCTTGATGAAAACTTTCCCTGAGTTTCCATTTAAGACGTGTTTCCACAGAAATTACCCAGAACAATTTGTCCCAAGAACTTCTTTCCCCCCAGCCCTGTTGCTGTCTGCGTTTCCATCGCGGTCTAAAGTACCGTAGAGACAACCCGATCTCACGGGAATTCGTACGAATTTTACGAGGTGGCTCATTCGTAACAATTCGAACGACCTCACTCGTACGAATTAGTACGATTTTGCTACCGTACATAGCTATTTTACGAATTAGCCACTTTTGAATCATTCGTACGAATTGGTCGTGAGATAGAGTAGGTAAAGATTAGGCAAACTAGTGACGTACAACTGCGTGCTACTTTCCCACTGGATCCCGCTGGGTTTCATCCTCTGAATTCAAGCTTAATAAAGCCAGAACCTTATTGTAGGTCCATTGGTCATATTTTTTAAACTCGTTGATTCGAATAGCAAAAACAATCTTACTGCACCAAAAAATGGTGGTTGAAATAAAATGCTGAATGATGTCAACTAATCTGAACCAATCAGCATGTTCAGTGCCCAAGTCTCACCCCCAAAAGTTACTAAACTTTTAAAAAGTACAACCTCGCCAGCAGGGACTTTCTGAGGTGGATTTTTTTTTTCCCCCTGGAACTTCATTTAGACCCAGGTCTTTCATTTTAGACCCAAACGACTTATTAAAAACTGTGATTCATTGAGGAACAAAGCAAGTGAGTAATTGAATCATTCTCTCAACTGAAGTGTACTAATTTATTCAGGAACGAAACACCAGAACTAAATGTTGATTTTAGACATTAAACCGAAAATAGAAATAGATGCATTTTCACTGGACTTTTGGACACCACTGCATTTAAAAACTAGAATGTATAGGGTATGAATACCGTGATGTGGATAGCAGACTTTGAGGCAGCAAACAGTGCTGAGTATAGTGAGAGTGGTCAGAGAGCAGATCCCGAACAAAACACCACAGAAGGCATAGATCAAACACACTGTCCTTCCATAAAGCCACCTGCAAAAAAACAGAAACAGCACTCACACACAGCAAAAAAGAGATCAAGATCAAGGATCAGAAGTTATTTCAATATAAAACAAATACAATTTTAAAACATAACTGAAGATTGCTTGCAGTCCTAATATAACTTTACTATTTATACAACCCTAACATCATCTCAAAACCCCATAACTTCAGCAGATTGACATAAAAAGTAAGAAAACAGAATCAATGTTTTTTACCAAACTCCATTTCCAGATCTATTAAGCCCCTTTAACACGTGTATGTGGCCCAGACCTCCTCAATGAAGGATCTTGCGTTTTTTCCTTCTTTTTTTTTTTTTTTACCAAATCAGCACTTTTGCATTACAAAATGTATTTAATAAAACCACTGTGTTTTTGCTCTAAAACGAGACAAGGCAAGTGTTTTATATAGAAAATTTTATAGACAGAGGTAATTGAAATGGCTTATGTATAGCCATGATAAGAAGTAATGTAAACATATTAAATCATTTAAGAATAAGGAATTTATATAATCCACATAACCGAGTGACAGATGAATTTATACCAAAAAAATTGTAGAGTTTGATAGGACGCACACCCTCTGATGTCAACAAGAAAAGATAAAGGAAGCATTTTCTCCAAATTATATATTGTGCTATGCACGATTGTATGATTAGTTGCATTTTATCTGCCGTCTTACACACAGCCAACAAATGCGCAATAAATCGTGCATAAAAGGACATTCTCTCCTTGCAATGGGTTGAGTTTGTTTGGCTGATGTACAATCCACCGCTGCCACAAAACGAGAAAGACGTAAGTAATGTCTTGTGTCCATCTCTGACTTGAGTTGCATTCCAGATGCAGCATGAAGTCAAACAAACTAGTGATAGCAATTGTCTGGTGTAAAGGACAGTTTAACCTTGATGGCTGTGGGCTGGATTTGTTTATGCTGTAACACAGAGCCACTCTGTGCAAAAGGAGCCATTAGATTCTGTCTGCTGCATTCTTTACATGACTGCTTACATCACCATTATCTTTGAGTTTACCGGACGGTTTCCTGTAACCGCTTGATGGAGCATTGAACTGCATGTATGTGTGTGCCTGTGCCTTTTTGATTTGGTTTCTATGAACCATTTTGCCTTGGAAAAACATGATAAGCTAAAGCAAAGTAACAGCCAAGTATGTGTGTATGGGACACAGAGAGATGACACCGAAAGAAAAGGAGGAGATAGTAAAAAAAAATTAATAATAATGATCCACCTTTACAAACTCTGATTCCCTATTCTAATTATATGGTAATTGTTTCTCATTCAGATGTAGGCTAAGGCATTTTCAACATTTACAGGGGTTAGTCGATATTTTATTGCGGTCCAAATGCAGACCCATGTAAAAGTTCTCTGCCAAATTACATACTTTTTGGTTTTTGACAAACAACAACAGTCATGTGATAAATGACTTGCAGTACTAATACACGTGTCTAAATCAGAAGGGGATAAATCCAAAATCCTATTAAACAAAGTAACCACAATTTTAGTTTTTCCTTCTTTGTGGTACCTGTGAGCGAAGCTTGAGGTGACCGCGAGTGGATAGAGGCTGAGGGTCATGCCCAGGTCGCTGATGGCCAGGTTAATAATGAAGAACTCGGCTGGTTTTAACAGGTGCTTCTTCTTGTAGGACACATACAGCAGCATACTGTTTCCACATAGTGAACAAACACCTGCAGGAAAACAAAAACAAATGTGAGATGAAATTATGCTATGTGGCGGCAGACAATCTTTCTGAAGCTTTATTTATTGAATCTTTTTTTCAACCAACATACTGGACCTAATCCAGAATTTATAAATTCTTGATAAAACTAGAACAGTTGCAGAAAAGATGTCAGTTGAGGCATTAATCCCAAAACCTGGTGTTTTAGTGATGGGATATTTTTTCAGGAATTTTTAAAAATGGCGTTTTTGATTTATTATAAAATGACATTATTTAAAAAGACTTTCACTTGTTCTGCTACATAAATTACACCTAATGTAAACAAAATCATTTCTGCCTTAAATATCCAAGTTGATTGTACTTAAAAAATGTAAGTCATTGCAACTTAAATTACATTTAACTGATTTTTAAAAATTCATTGATCTTGTATAACTTTTAAAAAAAGTTAACACAGTCTCATCCCAAAACGTCATACAACTGACGCTTTTGACCATACATCAACATCCGCCGTTTTAGGGTACCCTTTAACGTCAGTTAGATGACGATCCTGGGGCGTCATACAACTGACGCTTTTGACCATACGTCAACATCCGCCGTTTTAGGGTACCCTTTAACATCAGTTGGATGACGATCCTGGGCATCATACAAGTGACGCTTTACCTTTAACGTCAGTTAGGTGACGGGATAGGTTTAGGTCTGGGGTAGGGTTAGGATTAGATACCGTCATCTAACCAACTTTAAAGGGTACCCTAAAACGGCGGATGTTGACGTATGGTCAAAAGCGTCAGTTGTATGACGTCTTGGGATGTGACTGCGCTGAAAAAGTCAAAAACTGCTTAACTTATTTTGATGAGTTAATGCAATGTTGTCATAGCTTCTTAATCATATAATTTTTACAGTGTACTTGTGTACAGTGTACAAACGTGACAGTAATACTTTACAATAAGGTCCCATTAGCTAACATAAATTAATATTTATTTATATATATATATATATATTAGGGTTTTACAGTTTTTTATTAATAAAGATAATGGTGTTCAATACGTGATCCAACTTATGAAGTTGTGGCTCCAGCTGGCTTGTTTAGAGCTTTTATTATGTCACTGTCTGAGATCAAAGAGATTATGTGTATTACGTGTATATTACAAATCACATCATCTTTGAATGATGTGATTTTAACAAAACTTCTCACTGAAGTTCACTTTTAATACTTTTGGTCTATAGACCAAAAGTATTAAAACTTTTACATATATGTATGTTTTTACATATATGTATTTGATCAATTAACAACGTTGTTCAATTCTTCAACGTATCACAACGTTGTTGTGTCCAATCAAGTTTGAAAAAAAAAAAAGAACCCAGTCATGGATCCTTCTGGGCTTCAACATTTCCATCCTATTTCTAAACATCCTTTCATAGCTAAAATTCTTGAAAAGGTTGTATTCTGACAGCTCTCTTCATTCTTAGCCGAGATAAATAGCATGGATAAGTTTCAGTTGGGTTTTAAAACCATCCATAGTACTGAGTTTGCCCTTATTAGGGTGCTAAATGACATTTCTTTAGAAGCTACCATGGAAACTGTGTCAGCCTTGTCTTGGAAGACTTGAGTGCAGCTTTTGACACGCTGGATCTAATTCTGTTAGAGTGCCTTGAGTTGTGTGTCAGGGTAAAATGAAGTGTCCTTATGTTGGTTCTCTTCCATTAAGGGCAGAACTTTCATGGTAAAGATTGGGAACTGCCATGCTTCTTCTGCTCCTAAAACTTATGGGGTACCTCAGAGCTTTATTCTAAGGCCGCTACCTTTTCCCCTGTAGCCTACATGTTGTCATTTAATATACAAGGCAAGCCACTTCCATAATACATACATAAACAACACCAAAACTAAAAATGAATTTTCCATGATTACCTTCTTGATAGTCACTGTTTTGTTTGGTACAGTAAATAATATTTAGTAATATTATCATAATTTTCCTATTTTCATTTGATGTGTCATGCATTCTAATTGTTCTGATTCTAATTCAATATATTTTCTTAGAATGTCATGGAAAGAAAGAATAACAACAACCCGGTCTCATCCCAAGACGTCATATAACTGACGTTTTGGGACGTCTTTTGACCATACGTCAATATTCGCCTTTTTAGGGCCCCCCTAAACGTCGGTAGATGAGGTTATGGGATCCTAACTCTACCCCATACCTAAACCTAACCCTAAACCTAACCCGTCACCTAACTGACGTTAAAGGTAAAGCGTCAGTTGTATGACGGCCCGGGATCGCCATCTACCGACGTTTAAGGGGGCCCTAAAAAGGCGGATATTGACGTATGGTCAAAATACGCCCCAAAGACGTCAGTTATATGACGTCTTGGGATGAGACTGTGTTAATAACAACAACAAAAATGTCTAGTGCCCTTTTTGGTCTCTCCACCCCTGCCCCTGAGGAGGTCTGTACACGCCACTGCCTCACACTTAAATTCAATATGGCGTTTAACTTGATTATAAACATTGTAGTTATTAGAAATCTGACTTTTATTGAATATTGACATTTAGAAATCACTGAAGATTCTGCAGACTACATGAAGGAATATTTACACAATGTCTATGTCTGAAAGCAGCATATAAGGCAAGTCTGAACCATCCAGTCTCATCTAAGAAACCTTCATTTGATTGATTTTTGAAGGCAGCATGTGTCCTTTGCTATCTATAATATCCACATGCCGTGTGTTCGTTTCTGTGACAGTTGAGCTAAAAAAAAATAAAAGTTTCTGAAAGTTGCGACTGGTGGGCGGCTTCTGTAAGTGTTTTTGAACCACTTTTTTAACTTCTAATATTTGCTAGTAACCTCTCTATTGTGTTGTACATCGTTATTCGTTAAAGCATTCTGCTGCCTCAGAACTCTGTCTGAAATCAGTTTTGTGAGGTAGCTTTGTGTGCAAACACTGTCTGCAAAGTCCCTGTGTTTTTGGGTGGAAGCGTACAGAATTTATTCAAAAATATGCTGGGGAATATATTAGTCACATGGTACCCAGAGCGGATAAACACTATAATTTTTTCCATTTTCCAAATGTTAAATAAATGTCGAGAAACGCCTTCATTCTCAAATGTAAACTCATTATAAATAATTTAATAGTAATTAATTCACTTAATGATTCAGGTAGAGGTGAAATAGCAACAAAAGTGTTAACTAAACAGTTTCTGCATTTTTTATTATTAAGTTAAGGGATAAGTTAAGGCATAAGAAACAATTTGGGATTGGGATTTTTTTCACCACATTATGAGCCAATTTGACTTAAAATCAAGCTATTCACATAAATCTCTTGTTCATTCTGCTTTGTAAAGCCGAGCGAGCAACAGTAACCAAGAGGACAGAGCTTGGTGAAAAGCCAATTATTCAATTCTTGGAAGGGCTGTTGTATATGACAAAAAAAAAAAAAAAAAAGCCTAGAAATAGCTTGGTGCCGTATGTCATTTCCCTGAATTGTGTGCTAACAAGGACACTAAACACTGCATTCTAGCGTCAGTCGCCAGCACAGGGCAGAGAATTTGACCTGCACAGCTGACTTCAGTTGTACAAGCAAGAGTGGATGCCTGTTTATCACAGTAGATGCAAAGAAAAAATAAGGTGATGAACAAATGACAAGAACAAAAAAAAATACTTAACAGTACGCAAGAGTATAAGCAAGAGTTGGTTGTTAGTCTCCCGCAGTTCCAGACAAACATTGACCCTCAAAACTGTCCTGTTAGCTAACATTACAACAACAGCATATATTGATTCAGTGGAACTGCAAGACCAATGCTACTGGCGTATCAAGCCGAAACAACGCAATTTAAGGTCTCCCCGCTTAGGTTTCTCCAGCATTGGAATGATTTTCTAATATTAATGCGATATTGATATGATATTCCTCTGAGCTTTTCTCTTTTGTAATGTCTCTCAGCCATCTCGCTTTCTACAGTCTTTCTTCAAAACTCCCAATAGAGTGCCGAAGTGATGACGTCACTTTGTAGGACAACTCGGAAGCTAGCGGCGAATGGTTTCCCTCGATCGAAAAGCAATAGACTCCACATAGACTTTTGGAAAATCGCAAAAAATAAGATCTGTGTTAAACAAAGAGTTGTGACCCTTACACGTTTTGTTTATCAAGATAATCTTTACAAGTTAATCATTTTGAAGCCTATAAACATTTTAAAAAACACAAGTAGACATAATAAAGTTTAAAAAAAACACACACAAGGAGGTTATAACTGTGTGTTTTATGTCATAGATCAAAACGTGAAAATATTTTAGAGGCTTTGTTCACCACAGACCTTATTTCAGGCGATTGAGCAAAAACCCATTCAAAAATCCCATAGACTTTAGAGCGAGGGAACCGGTAGTGCTAAAATGCATGGACATGCCCCCGGTAGTGTTCTAAAATTAATGGACATGCCCCCTACTGCTGATTGGCTACATGTTTGTTGCGTGCTGCTCGGTCTAATGACTTTTTTGAAAAATTGCTTACTGCACCTTTAATGTTCGTTGATATAAAAATAGATTGTTTTTTTTGTGGCAAATTTATAAACATTTGGATTGATATTAGATTACTAAACAGATGTTCCAACCATTTACATTATTATAGATTTTATTTAAGGCTTTAAGGCTTAACAACAATGATTTGAAGGAATATTCCTTGCTTGTCAGATTTCAGCATTATTAAATCAGCTTTAGGGTGATTCTCCAACTATGGTACTTTTTCTGTCCTTGACAGATATTAAAAAAAAAAAAACTAAAAAAGATTTCCACTTTTTTTTCACACTTACTACATGTGTAGGGGAACCTATATATATATATATATATATATATATATATATATATATATATATATATATATATATATATATATATATATAAACATTGTTCAATTCTGTTGTTTTATATAAAATAGGAGGCATTTTATATGCGTTTTTTACTATTTTGCCTCTGTCCCTAGGCCAGACTTTGGGTCTTCAACCTTATCTCACTTAAAATCTAATACTGATATAATTTAAAATTCAAACAGAAAGTATGCAGTATAACCAAATTAATTCAAATCTAATATTTTTATATATATTTATTTTCAATTTGACATATTTTAAACTTGCTGGACACTTGTCCCTTGGGTTCACTGTCATTTCCACACCTCTGCATTAAATGCAATCCCAGGCTCAGTGTTCTAGATTTGTATACTCAGTAACCATGTTAGCTGACACTCCTGATAAACCCACATGGCTGAATGAAAGAATGGTCCCAGCAGACGTTAATAAATTGGAGATATATCAAGGTAAATATGAGAAATACTCATTTCTGAACCGCTCATAATTCATTCCGACGGAAACATTTCAGGTTTTTCTGCTCAGATTGGAGAACACACTTCCTCAGCTGGCTAGATTAAGCATTTTGACAGAAATTATCAGCAAACCACCTTTAGATCACGAACATGAAAATCTCATCAAATTTATGCTGACTTTGGCTAGCTTCAAATGCGCTCTGAGCCCTTCTGTGAAGGAACAGCAAGCACACAACTGAAGGCTGAAACCTTGGCAATAACTTAAGCTTTAATGCATATATAACACTGAGTTATTTCATCAATAAAATATGCCGTGGTAAATTTCCCATTACAGGTCTCATGACAGGGTTGTCTTGTATCACCCAGTAAAGTGGTATGATGACAGAATGACTCACTGTACATTATCCCTCTTGGTACAGCTTCTTATCAAATAAATAAATTAATGGAAATGACGTTTATATGATTTAGAATGATTTTATGTTACTTGTAAAGTATATAAAGTTTCCACTATCGGACCTTTTTCACATTTCTCCACTATTGCATTCCCACCACTTTCCAAAAGAGCAAGAAAATGCTGGGAGATGGATGGTGGACTGGACTTTTTACAATCAGAATTATTATCAAATTATCAGTAAAATCTTCAGAAATTGTTCTAAAACCCTGACACAGGATTGTTGACAAGTTTATTTAATATAACGCGAAGTGATATAAATGGCCATTTTAAATATTTAAAAATGAATGAAAAACCATATTTAACCATGCTGTTGAACTGCACATTTTTTACACTTTTTCACACTTGTACAATCTTCTAAACCATACCAAATATCTTAATGACTATCTTTCCTTTCTTTCTGATTGAAGTTTCCTTTGCCTTTCTGTACTTTTTTCCTTCCATCTTCCTTTTGTGTTATTTGGTATGTTTCAAGTTCTTTTCCTTCTTTGCAATCAACAGTAAAAGTTTATAAAGTTTAAACAATATAGGAGAAGTGATACGAGAAACATTAAATAGCAAAGGAATGTTGCCGTGGGCAAATGTAAAATATACAGTTCAACAGTATACAAGTATTTGATGGTTCAATGGCCAGAATCAATTACAGATGCAACGAGAGGGAACAAAAGAGAGCGAGAAGCAAGAGACACCGAGGAAAGGAGGTCAATGCTTTGTATGTTGAATTGTAAAAGCCAATTAGCACTTGGCACACAAGTATTCTGGCATTCAACCCACCTCTATTGTTTCTGCCACGAACGCATCAGTAATTATGATGCTGAAATGATCTGAATTATGCTGTAAAAAAAAATAAATACATCAGTTTGACCAAGGAGGATGGTAAGTTGTTCTGTAGTGCTTTTTCTTTTTCACATAAAGCACATTCAAACTTTATGTGCAGGCATGTGTTACCTTCAATCCAGGTAAAAACAGCAGAATAACATAGGCTATTTCATTCATTTTATAAATGACGTAATTTGCAAAATACACTAAAGGGCAAGTTAATTTAGCAATTGTAGAATGGCAAAACACACTATATGTATTTTAAAATACATATATGCATTACATGTCTGTGAATGTGCGCTCTTTACCGCAAATTGCACAGCTTTCAAATTGCAATCAGATTGCACAAACATCCCCAATTCCACAGGCTTGTTTGTGCCATTATCCGATTAGCATAACTCTTAAAGTGATTCAGGCACTAAAACAACACAGCCAGAGCACACCAAAAAAAAAAAATAATACTATCGGCAATCACAAATTCATTTTAGCATTCTGATAATCACAAACCCGTATCACTTACTATGACCTGCATGTGTAGAGCAATCATATACCATTGAAGAACATCCAGCATTGGAGATATAAACTGAGTTCAGAACTGCACACATGTGCACTGTTTCACTCACTTATGTTAATTTAAGGGCATTGGATGCCAGAACACAGCCATGCAATTGCAAGTGCAGTCCACATTTTCTCTCAGTAGATGGAAAACCTGTAATTCAGTTGGTTCATAGAACAAACTTGATGATATGATTAAAATATAAATGAATTCTCGCTCTTACCAAAAAGGGAATAAACCACGCCCACTGTGAAGTCAACAGCCACTGGGATGTTAGACTGGAAGCTGCTGTTGTCCAGTACTCGCATCTGTAAAGCACACACACAAAGAGAGAGAGAGATTTGCTCACACAATCAAGCTCACACATTTACATGTCGATTACAGAAGACTGCTTTGGGTTTGTAATGATTCTTTGAGAACATTATTTTGACATATCTGGGAATGAGTCAGTAATCGGTGCCATGTATCCTCATAACTTACTGATATCTTTTATGGGATATTGAACTTGGTCTCATTATTTAATGGATTTGACTGTTTGTGTAAAAGGTTAACCAATGTCAACCAATTTGCATGACTTTGTCCATTATAATAGTACGTAATTAATTCTAACATTTTAAATATCGTTTTTATTGAATTTAATATCTAAATTTTTCATTGTCTAGGTTTTGTTTTTCTAAAATGCTTTATTCATGCCACTGCCTTTCTGTTTAACTCAATCAGTACAGCATATATAGGCTTCATGTAGTGCAAGCAATGGATCATAGGTTTGATTCCCAAGGAATGCATGAAAAAATCTTTTGCTAAAGCATCTGCCAAATGCATATGATAATGCATCTTAAAGTTGTTACACAGTTCACAGTTAATCCTGACATCAACCTTGTCGTATTCACGAGACAAGTATTGATCTGAGTCAGATGATCTGACTCTCAAAACCAGTCTGAATAAAATAAATGGATGACCGATTGTTCATTTTAACGCCCGCAGTTATTTTAACCTGCTAGCAAACATGGCTACTACCGATGAGAGAGAGTGAGAGAGAAGGAAATGTGGTGATTGTAAAATGCTACTATTGCCTCCTTATCTTGTACAATCATTTCAGACAACAAATCTCCTTTTTAGTAAATCTGAAGCACATAACTCATTTCTCTAAACTTTGCATTATAAACGTGTGCTCTAGACCCTTTTAGAAGCATGCTTTGCTGAGAGTACATGATTATTTAAAACTGTGTCTATAGCCTTTAACTTTTTTTAGGCTCATTGCCAGGCTCTTTAAATCACATGTGTATAAATATTCCATCTCTCTCCCTCTAAATGTTCTGCCTTCTTTCTTACATACTTCCCCTAAAGACCCTACAAGTTAATCTTTATAGGAACGCTGTGTAGGAATTTCTCCCATCTACGCATATCAACCGCTTAGACGCCATTCTGCTCCAGCATATCAACAATAGCGGACTATGATGACAGCTCACTCTGTTGAAACGCTGTTGTCAATCAACAATCGTGGGAGGGGCGTCCGACCGTGTGACGTCAAAAACATACAAGGAGATTAAATCAAAAACACTGGATGGATTTTTAGCATTATAGGATGGTTGTGTACAGGCACTGCCAACACACATTTCAGTACAATGTACAATTATATGAGCCCTTTAATAAAAGGAAGGACCATGAGGTTGTCTCCTTTAGATTGTTCTGCATGCCTGGGCAAAGTCTTCATGTCTCCAGATATGCATCCATAACTCAATCCATATGTATTCTAACCCTCTCAGGGCATGCATTTCTATCAGTCAGCCGCAATGATTCAAAATCCATCTGAATTTGAGGTCGATTCCAAAACGAAAGTGTGTTGTGTCATTTGTGTTTGCACTGTAGTCACGTATAGACTGAGAAAAGTCCACCTCACATCTTCCTGAATTTACCATGAAATGATAAACAACAGTTCTGAGGATGGCCTTTTCTCAAAACCCATTAATGAGGAAAAACAAGTATAAGTTACAAGTCTTGTGAAAGTCATATGATATCAGTATGACTTAACCACAGTAGACAGTGAGAGAGAGAATATTTAGATAAGTCGTCAGCTGGCATTTCCCACTGGATGAGACTATGCCCTCTAGGGGGGGTCCCGTAATAAAAATGCATCAGTTCTGGTGCACTTTGAGGACACATTTAAGACAGCCTTTTCAGCAATCAAATTGAACAGTAAAAATAAACCATTTCTTTCGCATTGACTTTTGCCTGAGCTTTTCAGTTGTGACAGTATCTCAGTCCACATCACATTCACACTGGTTTTAGGAAGCCAAACAATCTGATTTAAGTGAAATTCCATCATAGACATTGTAGAAAGATATCAAATTAACAGTGAAGATAACAGAAAATATCAGTTTAAACCGATTTAACTAAATTAAATATTTAACAATTAACTCATCACCTATACATTTATGTAAACAATTTACTGTCTCCATAATACAGTCAAGGCTTTCAACGGTTTTTGAACACAATGGGCCACATTTAATCTGGATCAAAATGATCCGGATTTGGAAATCCCATTTTTTTCTATCCAGGATCAGGTTATCCGTCTTACTTTTATGCCGGTTTTTCAAAGCAACATTGGACTGGATCACCCTGATCCAGGTGCACAGTTTTCAAGATTACCAAATCCAGATTACCAGTGCTCTAAATGGGACAACATATCACAATGTGGGCTAAGAACAGGTAGAAGAGCCAACATGGGGTGACTGCAAGTGTTTCTTATTTTGAGACAAAAAACAAATGGGGACAAGATCATTTTTAGTTTATTTTTACTTTACTATACTGAATAGCTTAATTGTTAGCCTATGTCTACTTTATCACTGTTACAACAGTTACACAAGTCAAGTGCAAAATATAAATAAAAGTATACACTAAATGATACAAATGTATTATTTGAACAATTTTAAAGTTTTACTACATTTTCTTCCTGAAATCCACCTTGAAATCCTACCCCCCGTTGGGATCAGGAAAATCCTGTTTTTTGTTTGTTTTGTTTTTAATCAAAGTTATCGAAATCGCATTGACAAGTTTTGAACAACACAAAGTGAAGGTTTGATCCAGATTAAAACTAGGATTGGATTCCCTGATCTAATCTGATTTCAGATTCCTTCGTTCCCTTTTTGAACAACTCATTTTCAAGATTTGATCCAATCCGATAACCAAAATCCGATTAGTTTGCCTTTGAACAACTGGCCCAATGATTTCACCCATCTATCCTAACATATCTTTTGTATCTTTATTCCACTCTGGACAAAAACACTGTGCTATTGTAGTTAATTACTAGGACAGGAGTACAATTAAAATACTTATGTCTAGATTTCCTCACTTGCAGCTTTTATTTTAGGGGAAAACTCCAGAGTCATTTCTTTAGAGCAAGGGTTTTCAGCAGGAGGTCAAACACAGTATTTCAGGAGCTCGGCCAACCGCTGATTGACCTCAAGCTAATAACAGCATACACAGTTATACTGCTCAATTTAGGTCTCTATTCGGTCTCTGCCCTTTCTGAAAGATTGAAGACCCTTGTTTGAAGGGTTAGTTTTGTATATTACACTCAAAACTCCATTTTAAGATTGTTTCTGATGAAATAGCATGGTTAAGATTGAAATTTGGACGAGGATTTTAGATTTCTGTGTTAGCACCCCCCCACCTACACAATGGTTGTCTATGTGCACTGGAACAATCATTCATAAAAGGAATTCACCATTATGATTTCCATTACACGAGAGTAGATGTTAAAACTTCAAGCTGATTTATACTTGGCTTTCGCCAAGGTAATCAAAACTAAGACGCAGCTTTACAGTAAACTATGCTTCTCCATCCATTTACGCTTCTTTCCATATGGTGGTGTGACTCTTCTTCTGTCTCTTCAGAACTACAAAAGCCAACAAAAATGCTTAAAGCAAGTGTCAATCCTTGTGTGACTTTCAAAACTTCATTTAAGCATTACCACCAGGTACAGAAAGATTTTAAATCTAAGATTTACAAGAAACAGCCAAAATATCAGAAACATTCCAGATTATAATCACACAAATGGAATGCATTAACTGTCTACAGAGGATTTTATATAAACCGGTATAATATGCTTTCCTGACTGTTTTGATATACCCCACTTTCTGGCACTCCCATGTTTTCATCAGAGTAATATACTTAAGTAATATGCTGACCTGTTACATCAAAACCATAAGAATGCATGTCAATTTACTATATTGATAGAAGAGGGGCTGCAGTCAGGGACAGGTGAAGGAGAAAAGAAAGCATTACAGGATGAATCCCTGCCAGAGCTCTTTATATGAGTGTTGAGTCTGAGATGAGAACCACAACAGACTCCAGGCGCAGCTAAAGGCTGTTAACAGTGAACTTCAGTGGGAAACGCACTAGTAAAACTTCAGATTTAGAATGAAAAGGCATTGAATAGAGGTATTGGATAACTGGAATATTTTAAATATGAGCAAAGTAAAAACAAAAATGATCATATTATAGTTTGTTTGTCTCTGTTTTATTAATCTGTGGTTGTTGAAGAAAGTTTCATAGCAACAGCAGGGAGTGTTGTAACAGCTAGGGTGAGAAATGAGATGGGGAAAAATCACTATCACATGACCTTCATCCCTGTGAGGTGACTCTATAAGCTAAAAGTATCTTTGTGAAAAAAATATGGTTTAATAAGCACCTGGCTTTTACATTTTGAGATAATGTTAATGGATTTTAAATTACATAATCAGCTGGTTCTCTTGTTTTAATTTATAATATGTCTATCTACATGTTATAAAAATAGTGGTTTACCAGACATGAAGGGTTGTAATGTAGTCTACTTCTACAATTGCATTAACTCATCAACATAATAGTTTTTTTAAAAAAATATAAATTATACTAGATTTTAACTTTTTTTCTTTAAAGTCAGTTTAAAGCAATTTAAGTTGAAATGACTTAAAAATGGCTGCCTTAAACACCCAAGTTGATTGTACTACAATCAACTTGGGTGTTTAAGGCAGCAATTACAATCACCTTCGGTGTTCAAGGCAACATTTTTTTAGTGTACCCACAAAGATTGCATATAAAATGACTAACACGTACAGATACACACGTTTCCGTGTTTTTGGGGACTTGCATTGACAAAAATGTTTTTATACTGTACAAACGGTAGCTACACCCATCACAGAAAAGTAGTTTATAATTTTGAAATTAAAATGAAATGAGCTGATGATGCAACGAGCTGAGGGAGGTGATACTTATTTTGAAATAAGTACATTTGATTCCCACAAAGTAATTTAAAAAATTGTAAAATATCCATGTTCATTTCGAGTAACAAACACCCAAGTATGGGTTAATTGTAGCACCACTCTTTGTTTGACAATATTTAACGCAGTTTATGAATAAGTTGTAGATATGAATAAGTTGTAGATAGTTGTAGATGAATAAATTGTACAATTTTGAAACATAAAGTACAAAATAACACTGAGATAGTTTAAGAAAAATGTTACAACACTCCCCGATCTCTATGCGAGGAGAAGCGCAACACTCAGCCAATAAGCACACGAGCTTTCAGCTTCGTTCATTCACTATAAAATGACCAAAATTAAAGCTTGTCTGGGAAAACACATGCTATTGGATTACAACCAATTAACAAGTGTATGGGGTAAATAGATGCTATTACGAAACCATAAAACTACAGAGAAAAGCGGAATAATCGCACTCATGTTTCTGGCGCGCGTCTCAGCACCAAACTCTCGCTTCCACACCTGCTCTCTTTGCGCGCTATTTATCTACATGCACCTGCTCGCTTGGACCTATTCGATGTCATCTCTCGCACATTCCTTATGCAAAGTGGGTTCAAAGAACCATGACTGCACTATTCCACTCAACATCCCCAACATCACCCCCTCTTACCGTGACAGCCGTCAGCCTCGCCTCTCCTCGGGAAGCCGAAGGGATTCATCCGCTTTATCCGTGATCAGTCGTTAAAGCTCCTCAGTTCGGACCCACATCGCGGTGGCACGCGCAGTCGTGGGGATGCGCGTGGGAGACCAAAAGCGAGATCAGACCTTCCGGTGATCAAATTAGTTTTTGCGCAAGACTGTGTGCGCGCGCAAATGCACGTGCAGGTGATCCCGAGCGGTTCACATGAGTTGTGAATGACCCCCACCCGACTATATGATGCGCTCAACGGTTTGGAAATACACATTTGACGACATAAGCCTCTCGTGCCTTTACACACACACACTAGGCTTCAGATCTGGATACTCGCACTGGGATAGCAGGTTCACCGTTCCCGTTCAAGTGCAAAATGATTAGTGCTCTAAGATGCTCTTTTCAAAACTATGAATAATAAGAAGGTATAAATAATTACAATAAGCGATTAATAAAGAAGAAAAGAGAAGGCATGGAAAAGAACGGAAAGACACGAACGGAGATGAAAAGGGACAGAAGAGGAAAGAACGAAACGCAAAATGAAATAAAGGGGGACATTATCATTTAATTAATGAAGTAGGCTATCGGTAAGCCTTCAACCAGGTTATTCAAAGGTTAGCTTTAATTAATCCCACCACGCACCATTTGTGAGCAAAATACTTTTGAGGATACAGGTTATGAGGTCAAATGAAGACAGGCGAGCTTTAAATAAGGTTTGAAGACTTTGTTAGACAAATCAACGTAAAAAGAAGGGAAAAAAGTCACTGTAAGCGTGCTGCGTTTCCTACGAGCGCGCGCATTAAATTGCACGTGAGCGCTCAACACAGGCTGGAGCGCTCGTTCAATCTGAAGCGCGTGGATGCAGCGGGGGGAAGCGTGTACACGGAGCATCACCGGGCTGAACAATGCTTCCCAACAGCGTCATCATTCCCGCTGACAATTTACCCTAACATCTTACTGAAAGTATAATTCAAAATGTACGAAGGAGTCAATTTGCAATATTGAAAGTCAGGGAAATGCATGTGGACTTTTTGGTACTATAAAAACCAAGACAAAACAGACAGCAGAGAAAACCAAATATGCTATACGTGATTTGCTATAATGAGATGGAAACACTGGGAACATCACATGTTAATGGTCTATTTGTAGCTAAGCCTTTATTCACAATAACGTTACAATTAACTGTTATTAAATAAACTCATTTATCATCATAACCTATGCAACAGTAACACTCATGATGAGTTATCACACAACGATTTACTATCATGCCATCTTTTCTGTTTGCGAATAAAAAGAATTATGTTAGTCAACTACTATGCCATTTAAATAATTGTTCCAAATGTTTGTTTCTTTCTTTCTTTCCATCCATCCATCCATCCATCCATCCATCCATCCATCCATCCATCCATCCATCCATCCATCCATCTATCTATCAGAGCATGAACAAAAGTTCAGAGTTAAGTAATTTGTGCTATAACAAAGTAGCATTAAAGGGGGGGTTGATTGCGGTTTCACTTTTTTCATTTTAAATAGTGTGTAATGTTGCTGTTGGTGCATGAACAGTATCTGCAAAGTTGCAGCGCTGAGAGTTCAATGTAAGCAGCGATATCATCTTTTAAAAATCAGGAAGTTTAATGCCCACAAAAACGACTCGAATGGGACTACAACAGGTTTTAGACGTCACTAACCCACACATTTGCATCAATCCTCCTTCCGGAATATGCAAAAAAGGGCATGCGCATATTTCTGCGACTCATCGAAAGTGTTATTTTCACCCAGCTGTCAGGTCTTCTGTGTTCGAGCTTCCCACGGACGTTGTAGTTCGTCAACAATGGATACAATTTATATTTAATTATGTTCCTGAAAATTAATTATGTTCCAAAGTTTACAAACATTTTGGACCTGAATTTGTATATGCATTAATGTTGTAAATATATTTTTCGTGTATATATACTTTATTTTTTTTTTTCAATTTGAGCAAGAACGTAAACCAGTGACAACGCTGTTTGTCTATATAGTAACCAGATAGTTCGATGCTACTGTGTAAAACAAACGTGTATAAAGAACTGGGTCTGATTCTGGCTCATACTGATACGGCGGTATCGACACCATTATTTACATTTGACATGAACAACACATGCAACTTCGCCCATAAAGGTAATGGGCGTGAAGTTTCCGGACAACATGTGCAACACGGTTAAGCCAATCACAACACACCGGCCCAAAACCAACCAATCTGAGCCCACTACCCGTTTCTGGGGGAGTGGTTTCATAGACTCAGGATGTAAACCAGTCGTTCAAATGACGGCTTTGAACGCGGCTTACAATAAAGGTGAAATTTATAAAAAAAATAAGACTTTAAAAAAAAAGAAAAATCACAAATACATGTTATATTGAACTCCATAAACACAATCATGCAACGAAAAAAAGCAGTAAACCACCCCTTTAAGACAAAAATAAAATAAAAAATAATTTCAAATATGTGGGCACACTGTTATGTGTATTGCTCTGAAATTTGTCACATTCCTTTCACTGATGTTTCAGCTGCCATTGTCCACAGAATGATGCTTAACCACGTTGATTTTTCCAACTAGTTTTTTGTTTCAGGGACAAAATGCAAAAAATTTTAGACAACCCAGAGGCTTGTCCAGCCTTACATACAGAAAATAACACCACTGAAACAATACCACTGACAGAATCAGCTGTGCTGAATAATTTTACTCACGAAAAGCATTTCTGGCAAGATTTTGAAGCTCAGTTTTGTGTAACTGATAGCCAGACACGCAAAGACAAATACTGTTATTAAAAATAAATCAAAAGCCTCGCACTCACCACCACACCACATGTTCAATTACATGCTTCCCAGGGATCGCATATTAGAGAACAAACATGCATGTTGTGCTCGGTAAACGCTACTTGCTAAATCAATATAGTAAATTACATTTCTAAAACAAAAAACATCTAAGAAGGCAACAGGCAGCCAGGTTCTTGGTTATTGGTTACATTTTATTCTATGTACAGTAATTTGTTATAAATATAATACATCATTTTTTTTTTCAGAAAAGCAGTCATGTAGATACACTTAAATAACAGTTTGATCATAGTAGTGGAGATGGAAATGAGAGCTGAGGGGGTGGGAGAAGACGATTGGTTTGTAGAAAATTAAAAATTTCTTGAGAAGACAACACAGCCCACCCACACAAAGATGCACAAACAAAAATATGCTCTCAAACTGTGACTTTTACCCTCTTGATGTTCTAACGGGTCCTCTGCTGTTTGACTGGGCAACATGGATTCTGCTAATTGCTTAACGGGTTACGAACATTAAGATGGCTCCACGTTGGACTTTGCCAATTCTACTGGCTTCTCATAAGGTGATGTTGAGTTCCACTTGACTCCACATTTGCAGACTGACTGGATTTGACAGATTATGCCATCGCAGTTGCAAAGTTATCACCGGTTACAGTCCATCAGTTACGGTGTTTCATCTTCTGGTTTCAAGATAGCACTGGAGATGTTTTTATGTTACTGTGGCAACAGATCACAGTGGGCAACCATGAGACATCCAGCAGGACAGTATGAGGCAGAGGTGCATAGCCAATAACATTACCATATTTGGTATCTTGAAAAAAACAAATTATATAGTTCTAAAAACAAAAATATTTCATAAAACGAGAAAAAATTATTCAAAATAATACATGGACTGACATGAGATAAATTAACATGGGGAAAAAAAAAAGAGATCCAGTCACACTTCAGGTGCATTTAAGACAAAACATCTAGAGTCTGTTTGTGTTTAGCTCACCATGGCAAGCACATCAGATGCGGTGTTAAGTTGAAATATTTGTGTTCAAGTCTTTTTAATTTACGTATCTCTCTCAATTAGATTTCGTTTTAGCAAGAAGTAAAAAAAAAAAAATCTTGGACTCCGGTCCGTTTCATTTATTTAGGTGGGCCGAGAACAGGGAAACATTTCGGTGTTACCTCAAACGCTGTTGATGATAATAAGTGCAGGCATGGCACTCTGCTGGCTGGTCTCACACATAGCGCTGGTCTGTGCCAACTTGGCGAAGACACGAGGTGTACCCAAATTATAAACTCCAGCTTGGAAGAAACAGGCTTTCAAGGAAAGCATGTGCACCTCTTGAGCTTGGAGTTGTAACTTATATTGGGTCTGGCCCAGCCAGCTAAATGAACCATGCACTTCCAGGGACTCCGGGCTGCATAAAAAGACAATGAGAGAGTGAGACAAATACCTTCCATATTTATAACATTTGCACAAAAGGCCCCGATATACTCATGAAGTTCTTTTCATTCTTCGCTTAGGGGTAAAAAGATATTCGAAATACGTGACCAAATGTAGACTATTCGTGAACATCCCAACATTTCCCACACTGCTCAGATGAATATGTAAATATACGCTGCACACTTTCAATAACAATATAAATACAACAAAAATGACAGCGGTGAGAAAACATGAGTTAAAAAGCATCTGATCAGAGTGATGTGGATGTTTGCACAAGCTCTGCAATTTGGCCGTTCAGTAAAGTCACATTATATTTATTTAGGTTACATAGCTATTGATTGTTTAAAGGGGTCAAGAATTTGAGAAATCAAATTTTCCTTGAGCTTTGGACATATATAATAGGTCATCATACTATAAAAATATCCTGTAAGTTTCAGAACTGAAAACTTCATCAATCAACACCTACTTCATCATTACAAATTTGGCCCCTCCCACTAGCGAGAGAAAAGAGATACAGGATCACTGGACTAAACATTACCTTCCAAAGGAATGCTAAGAAAGTGGTTATTTATTTTCAACAATGTGAATGTCTCAGTTGAGAATTATTATTTGTATGCTGTACATTATTTCACTGTGGATTATTTGGTAAATCAGTTGCAATTCCGGTGTAGGCTTTGCGAACAAACTTTTGCGATATGGACTCGACAGTAATGCGACGACATGCAAGTAACCGTGTTAATTCCAATGCCGGATTTCTGACATGTAATGATTCATGCAACAACTGTCAGATGTTCTTTGTGTCAGTAACTCAAACCAGTGACTAAACCAGGCAACTTCACAATGATTCTCTTAGTAGGATGAAAACAACCTGTTATTAAAACTGATTAAATTATGAAAGTAAACAAAGAATGCTTCTGTGACGATTTCGGGGCGAACCCGCACTTT